ACAGCGACAGATACGAAATGCATGCAAGTCCAAGGGGAGGGGGACAGTCAGAGATGCAGGAGCTCCCGGGGAAGGACTCTGGCAAAGGAAACCCTATGGAGGCAGCACTGGTCACCCTCAGACTGGCAGGTGTCTGGTCTGGGGACCAGCAGCCCTGGCGAGAATGTGAGGAAACGGAGGTCCCTGGGAGAGAAGGGTGACGGGCACCCCTGTCTGGGAGAACAGTGAGCAGCACCCATCCCAGGCCACAGGTGCACCCATCACCTAGCGTGGGCAGCTCACTCCCACCGTGTTGAAGGGAACACCGTGTCCATCAACCTCTATTTGCAACAGAATCCATAAAGTGGAGTTTCTGGGTCAACACATATACAGTGTTGAAGGTACAAGCCTCAACTTCCAACATCCCAGGTCTGCTTGTCCACCTTGAGCCTTGTTTGGGAAGCAGGGGTGGGGATTCCTGGGGCTGTGACCTGTGGGAGGGGTGGGGAGGGGGAGCTCTGAGTGGAGTGACCAAGGTACCCGGGGTGACCTGCCAGCAGGGACCCTCCCGCCCCCAGCCCCTCTCCTGACCTCGTGCACGATGGCGAGGGTGTGACGGTGAAGGTGCTGGCCCTTGGCTGGCGAGTTCCCTAGCTGGTGCTGGAGCTGCTCAAGCTCCAAACCGGGCTCTGATCCCAGAGCTGGCGCGAGAGCCGAAGCTGCAGCTGCCCCAGTCTCGGGAGCTGCGGCACGCATCGGTGGAGGACCTGGCTCGAGCTCTGGGGCAGGTGCTGGAGCTGAATCCCCCTCCAGAGATGACCTAGACCCGGTTCCGCACTTGGATAGGGCTCTTGAACCCACGAACAGCTTTCCTCCCCTGCCCACTTCATGGATGACAAAACTCGGGGGGGTGACGGGACCGGCTACATGGGGGTAATGGCTACGGGGGGATTCAGACCAAGGATCCTGCATCCCCTTCACCACGCGCCCCACGCGGGTCGGTCCTGAGCTGCCAGACGGGGACAAGGGCCTGACCCGCTGCTCCCGGCAGCTGCCCCCAGCTGAGCAGAGACACTTGCCGGGGACCTGAAGTCCTCATTTGACCTCTGCTCCGGCCAGCCCCACGCGAGCAGGGACCGTGCTTCCTCACCGCTGGGTCCCCAACCCCCAGAACAGTGCCTGGGAGGTGGTAGCACTTCAAAGTTTAGTGAATCGGTGGGATTCCCCCAGCAGCACCGTGATGCGGCGGATGTTGTTACAGATGAGAGGTCTGGGCCACAGACTCTTGTGTTCACGCTTTCTTCCACGCGTGCATCACCCACACCTGTGTCTGTTCGCTGGAACACAGAGGGGACCCCCAGACACCCTCCCTGCCCTCGGAGCTCCCAGCCTAACCAGTGGGTCAGCATCTCACCCACGGTCAGCAAGTGGGCGATACAGAGCTAGAGCACCTCGAGCACGAGACCTTGCATGAGGCAGACGCTTAATGACTGAGCCACCCAGGCGCCCTGAGACTGATATTTTTACACAGGCACTAAGACCTCTTCCCTGTGCCTACCCCATACCTCGCAGGTTAGTAAATCGCTCACACAGGGAAGGTGGATACTACATTTAAATATGGGACGAGCACATACACCTAGCAGACATGAGTCAGGTCACCAGGGGGCAAGTAGAGGCCCAGCCAATGGGGGAACAAGCCAGACATGATGCAAGGGGAGAGAAGAGTGCTCCTGGCAGAGGGCACAGAGAATGTAAAGGATTGGAGTCAGGCCCAAGGCACATGTGGGACAACCACACAGCTTGGTGGCCCACAGAGGGGGGCTGCAGTGGGAGAGGTGAGGCTGGAGAGTACAGACAGGTGGGGAGCGGATCGCAGACAGGCTCAAAGGTTATGTTCTGAAATGATCAATCTGGTTACCGGAGGAGAATGGTCTCTATACAGCAGAGGACAGGGAGACCCTAACCCTAACCCTAACCCGTACCCTAACCCTAACCCCTAACCCTAAACCTAACCCGTACCCTAACCCGTACCCTAACCCATACCCTAACCCTAACCTGTACCCTAACCCGTACCCTAACCCTAACCCGTACCCTAACCCTAACCCATACCCTAACCCGTACCCTAACCCTAACCTGTACCCTAACCCTAACCCGTACCCTAACCCGTACCCTAACTTGTACCCTACCCCCAAACAGTAAACCGTAAACTTTAAATCCTACCCCCAAACCATACATCCTATCCCTAACTCTATCCAAAACTCTAACCAAAACCCTGAACTTTAACCCCTTTTTTATTTTTCCCTGGCTCTAGAGTTTCCTTGTTCCCAACCATGTGCATAGCCTTCCTTCCATGAAAAGTTCATCCCCCTAAAATATTTCTGACTCTCAGTTTTAACCCTGCACAGCTCAGTCCCATTTGGAATGGTTGCCTTAGGTTCTAGGGCTTACCTGTAATTAAAGCTCCCAGGTGTCCCCATGAGGATTACTCCTGCAGCCCAAGTCGTTTCGGTCCTGGAAGGGCAGTCCATTCTCCTTCAGTCTCAAAGCACATTTTTGTTGGATAGGGCAGGTGTATTACAGGCCCAAGAGCCCCCTCCCAAGATCCAGCTTTTCAAGATTCTTGCCCTGTTCCAGGTTCCTGCCTATCTGGACCACCATATTTTGTGCATAAGCAGTAGGTACCTCCCCAGCCTGCCAATGTCAGGGCTTGGAAATGGGTAGATTCCATGTACCCCCGACAGCCTACTCCCGAGACCAGGCCTCTCCTGAACTTCTCACTGTACAGATCCCTGGCTACATCCTTGTGTGGCACGTGTGTGTGCAGTATGCAGTGATCAACCAGTCTTGTGTGTCCAGGGCCCTACAAGCCGGTGGAGTTCCAACCTCCTCAACAAAGTGCATGACCTTCTGAAAGTAGGAGGCGCACCCCTGAAAATCGTTCCATGGTGGCAGATTTCCACGTTTGGACTGATTGCATACTGCAGACGCTGACTGGCACAGCAGTCAATGCTCCCAGCTGTTTCATTGGAGGGTACCCCAGCAAGTCTGTGGAGCCCCATAATAGCAAGCATGTGCAGCTTGCTCCAGCTGGGCCTTCAGGGGGAATATGTGCATTTGGCATTAGGCAGATATCAAGTGCTCCAAGCAGCCCCCTCCTAGGGCAGGGCCTCTCCCTAGAGCTGCCCTATTCCAACTCCCTGGCTCCCCGGATCTGCCCAGCTTGTGCACGCACACCACACATCCTTCAGCCCGCAGAGGGCAGCCTGAGCCCCACAGGTCTGTGGAATCTGTCTGCATACCTCCAGGGGAGAGGGTTACACCCCTGAAAATCTCTCTCAGCAGCACCTTTGCACTGACAGCAGTCAGACCCCGTTTGGACCGGCTTCCTGAAAGGGCTCTGGGTCGCTCTTCTTAAACCCGGCCCAGACAATCCCTCACTCTCACCCACCTCTTCCAAGGGTCTTGACCTAGGGTCCATCTTGTCTGATATGGGGAAGGCACACCACGTCTCCACTGGTTACTGTCTGTATGGAGGATCTTTTCCACCCTCTCACTTTAACCCTCTTTGTGTCACTGGGTCCCAGGTGAAGCTCCTGTACACAGCATGCAGCTGGATCTTGTCTTCTAAACTATTCTGCCAAGCTCTGCCTTTAACTGGAGACATCCGCTCATTTACATTAGAAGTAATTTCTTATGTAAATGAGAAGGAAGGACTCACTTCAGTCACTTCCTATGTGTTTTCTGCATGTCTTCAACTTCTTTTCACTGAGTCAAGATTTATTTCCAACCTGGGAAACACTTGGACTAATCAAAATGGTGCTGCTCTAATTTCTGATCAGACTTTAGTACTTCCTCTAGAGATTTTCAGACATAAGACACAGTGAGCCAGCCCGACAGCACATGGTAAGAGTTACAAAGGCCTCGGCTATTTAACAAAACCGAAAGTGACAACAAAATAATGCAGCACAGGACTTGTGCATCCTTGATGAGGACAGAATCAGGAGCAAGTTACTCAAACAAACCAAATGCAAATTTGTTTTTACACTTTTCATGTTTACTTGTAGGCTTTGCTTCATAAAGCCACTGATAATTGAGGAAACTTTCTGTCAAGTACGGGATTTCTAAACAATTTTTTAGGATTTTTATTTATTTGAAATAGAGAGTGAGCAGGGGGAGGGGCAGGGGGAGAGGGAGAAGCAGGCTCTCCGCTGAGCAGGGAGCCCCGTGCGGGGCTCGATCCCAGGACCCTGGGACCATGATCTGAGCTGAAGGCAAGGGCTTAACCGACTGAGCCACCCAGGCGCCCTGGATTTCTAAATATTTTAATACAGAACAAATGAAAAACCCACAAACTACAAATTCCTACACCAAAAGGAAAACACGACCCAGCTGCATTTACCCGTGTCCGCGCACCTCACCATCGCAGGAGGCCCGCCCCTCGCCGCCCGCCGACCCTGCAGCCAACATGCCCGACCCAGCCCCGGCAATCGCGGGCATCTACAGCACTCCCTCCCGGCACCGCGCTAGCCAGCCCGTACCCCGGAGGGGTCCTTCAGGCCTCCGGCCGGGCAGCCCTCCTGCGGGTCCTTGCGCGGTTGCGTAGCAGCTGCGAAGACGCGAACGGGGCCGGAAGCGGAGTGCGGCGCCGAGTGAACCCCGGCTGGCCCGAGGGGTCCGAGGCGGGACCGGGGCGGGGCGGAACGAGGACCGGGGTGGAGCGGGACCGGGGCGGGGCGGAACGGGGACCGGGGTGGAGCGGGACCGGGGCTGCGCGGAACGGGGACCGGGGCGCGGTGGGACGGGGCGGAACAGGGACTGGGGCGGGGCGAGACGGGGACCGGGGCGGGGTGGGACGGGGGACGGGCGCCGACTGGGCCACGGCTGGCCACCGGCGGGCCCAGCCGCGGAGTCCGGGGTCGAACCTCGTTTCCCTCAGGTGGCAGGCCCAGCCTTGGGATCCACCGTCCTTGGGCCCTGGGCGGGAGAAGGACGGATCGTTGGGTTCACGCAGCGGGGTGAGGGCAAGGGCAGTCCAGCCTGACAGGGAAGGTTGGTTCCCAGATGTGTTGGGTGCCCAAAAGATGTTGGTTGAATGAAAGAGAGCTTGCGAAGTGGATGGGGAGGACAGCGACAGCTGTCGAAGGTCTTCGAGCCTGGAGTTTAGGTCTGGGTCTGGCTTGGGAACAGGTCAGTCTGCTCCAGCGGGGAGATGGAAGGGGCAGTCCCTCCCTGTGCTCACCAACCATCTACCACTTGCCAACCACTGGTCATGAGGCTGAGGGTACCCGCGTTAACAAGGCTCAGTCCGTACCTGAGCAGTGCTACAGTCAGGGAACTCGGTCCTGCTGGCATTTTCCACCCCGACGCTGTGCACACCCCTGTCCTACCTCTTGCCACAGTGGACTCCGCCAACATTGTGTCTCCTTTCCTCTGAACCCAGCACAAGGCCTGCTCATGGTGAATAGAGCCTGAAGCCATCATTTCTGTGTGCCTAATTGACTCAGAATCTGTGCTATTGCGTGTTCTTAGTACAGTTTGAAAACTTCTATTTGGCAGCGAGGAGAGAAGAAACAGAGCTAGAGATGATGTCACACCTAGGTGTTGGCACCGGGTGGCCGGTGATGTCTTGTACAGATGAGGAATGTGAAGACTAATGTTTGGGGTGGGCAAGGATTAAGTACTCGTTTTTCATATGTTATTTGTCCTTCTGTGGCAGAATCTACTAGTCCAAATCTGGTAGGCAATTGCCTGAGTCTGCTGCCAAGGGAGGCAATCTCGGTGCAGGTACAGATTTGGCGTCATCACTATTTAGGAGATACTTGAAACTAGTAGAGATGGAAATAACCCTAGAGAAGAGGGTCTGGAGAATGCCCACACTGAGAGAGAAAAAGGCAGCTACTGATTGCAGCAGGGTGAAAAGTGGAGGGGAAGGTGGAGGCATGAGGTAGGTGATCAGGAATGCACATTAGATGTCTTTGGCTGTGTGGTCTGTCATTCAGTGATAAGACCTTAGGTCTACAGAACACTGTCTCTGTCTCACATTGATTGTTTTTTTGTCCTGTTTTACTGGTGAGAAAGCTTTCCCATGTACAACTTGTCAAATAGTCTTTCCAGGTGGGAGTGGGAGGTGTGGCCCTGAACATAGCTGCAGTAAGGAGATGACATAGAGTAAACCACCCAAAGAGGATTTGGGTGGGGACAAGATTACAACCCCACAGTTCAGCAAGTGGCGGCCGGGTTGGTAGTGAATAGAGAGGAATGGAAGTGTGTCCTTGGGCCTTGATCTCATCAGCTTCTCTCTCCTGTCCAGGAAGGGGAAAAAGTAGATTTGGTTGAGGAAACTTCTCATCTCTTTTTTTTTTTTTTTTAAGATTTTATTTATTTATTTGACAGAGACAGCGAGAGAGGGAACACAAGCAGGGGGCACGGGAGAGGGAGAAGCACGCTTCCTGTGGAGCAGGGAGCCCGATGTGGGGCTCCATCCCAGGACCCTGAGACCATGACCTGAGCCGAAGGCAAACGCTTAATGACTGAGCCACCCAGGCGCCCGAAACTTCTCATCTCTTTAACAGTAGCCTCTTCTTGATCTTCCCAGACAGTGACAAGACCCCACACACACACACCTACCCCGGGCTGAACGCCCAGAAGCCAATGGCCAGCGACAAAGCCAAACCCTGTGAGCTCAACCAAGAGAAATACGATGCTGATGACAACGTGAAGATCATCTGCCTAGGGGACAGCGCTGTGGGCAAGTCCAAGTATGTTGGGAGATGAGAGAAGGAAGACTAGGCCCGGAGCAGGTCGGGGTGGCACAGAAGAGCATGGCTTCCATAGGGGTGATAAGGGAGTAGTCTTGGCTGGAGCCCAGGTGTGTGGGGGGAACAAGGGGGATCACAGCAGCTGTGTGTGTTGGGGAAGGGGGAGCAAGTCATAAGGACTGAGTAAATAGAGCTTTCTTCAGGAGTCTTGGCAGCACATATGGGACGGCTCACCCTGGAGACTACTGAAGCAGTCCAGGGTGAGGCGGTAAGAGCTGAGGGATCCTGTATGTTCTGTGTGGGCCGAGAGTCTGCGAGTGGGAATGGAGACCAATGACAGATTGATTGGAAGTGGTACAGATGCCTTCTTGGAGGAGCTCCCCAAGATGAAGCAGAGTGGAAGGAAATGAGGACTGACTGTGGTCAGCCTGGAGATTGGCTGACTCTTAACTGACTCCACTGCCCATGTGCACAGTTTGGGACTCCCCACCTGGTGAGTTGAAGGGGACTCTGCAGTGCATGTCCTTGTCTGCCTTCACAGCAGGAAAGTAGACCAGACATCTGCTTGAGTCCTGTCTCCTAGGTGCTCCAGAGCTACCTTGTCTTGAAGCTTCACCATTGATTCCAGGGGCTTTGCTGGTTTTTAGGCCATCTTCCTAAATTCACATTCTCTCTGCCCCACCCCATATGCATACATTGCAGATCTAGTTTAGTGTTTTACAGTTGCTTTGACCATCCTCAACAGTTGCAGTCTGGGGAGATTGCACAATAAAGAACACCCCCTATTTCCCAGCCAAGTGTAGTGTTTCCCAGCAACAGAGCAGGAATGGCGGGCGGATAAAGAGGAGGTGGGGGCTTTGGAGAGCATAGCTTAGTGTGAGGCCCAGGGTGGCCTGCCTGCTTCCTCAGCACTGCCCAACCCAGAGTTCAATGCTGCTTTCTTACAAGCCTCGCTTAGGACAACAACAAAAAGAATCCAGGAGGTTAGCAGGATTTCAAATACCACAGCATTGGTCTCTATGGCCACAGCATCTGGAAAACAAGCAGGGCTGTGGGGCAGAAGCACCAGGCTTTCTCTGCGGTGCTGTTCTTTCTCATGCAGCAGGTTCATGCCTCTTGATTCCATTTCCTCTTTGTGTCTGTGTTTTTGGCCCCCCAAGCCTCTGTTGAGGGTGGGTTCTAATGACATAGCTCTCTCACTGCCTTCACTCCTGCACGTACCCCCTTCCTGAGTTGGATGCTACTGCAAGATGTTCTCCCCTAACGATCTCTGACCTGGCCAGCTCATGATCTGATTGTCCAGCCTGGGTCCACTTTAATAGACATTTCACTCTACAAGTGCTAAATACTAACAGGGTGAGACCCTGCTCTAGGTGATCAGTAAAAGGCCCTCTCTGTGTGCCCACTTATAACCATGTCATTTGGAGGCCCTGCCGGTCCTCCATACATTTTCCTCACATTTTCTCTACCCCTGGGCATTGCTGACCAGTACCGAGAGGAACCCATACTCCCTCTGTAGCTTCTCTTTCTACAGCTCAAGAAACCGTCTTCCCCTTTTGCGGGGGCGGAGTTCAGGCTATTTTGGGCCTTGCCTTTCTTTTGTGTGTATAGATTTTTTTAAAAGATTTTATTTATTTGAGAGAGAGAAAGCACAAACAGGGGGAGAGGCAGAGGGAGAAGCAGGCTCCCCGCTGAGCAGGGAGCCTGATGCAGGGCTTGATCCCAGGACCCTGGGATCATGACCTGAACCGAAGGCAGATACTTAACCGACTGAGCCACCCAGGTGCCCCTCGGGCCTTGCCTTTCTTAAAGATTTCTTTGGACCCAGATGCTCCCTTTGCTTAATAACAAAACATGGCCTTTCCTTATCCGCTCTTTCAGAGGTTAGCTCCAGATATGGTTTGCCCCCTGACTCAACCACTTAAGCTCCTGGCCTCCCTTTGTTTGTGTGTGGGAGGGGGGAGTGGTGGAAGGATAACAAGGCTTACTTCACAATGTTTTCTAAGTGACTAGCCCAACATTTGACACATGGTAGATCTTCAGTGGGTCTTAGTTTTATCTTCCCGTCTGCCACTAGTTTGACCTGATGAAGAAAATGAATAAAGACAAATCTTTGTTCAAAAACAGAATGGTTAGCTCCAGATGCATTGCCTTTTTTGGGTGATGGCTTTTAGGGTGTCATTCTCTCTTGGATCACTGTCCACCGTTGTGCACAGAGGGCAAAGATGCACACCCTGCTAGGGCGCGTGGTGTAAGCAGACTGGAGTTGACTAGGGGAGATTAGGGAGCGGGATACACACAGCCTGACCCATGTCCCATGCCTTATCATCCCCAAGGACCAGGAGGAGATGGGCTGGATGCCTGGGGAAGGGGCCTCCAGAGAGGGGTGCGGCGCCTGTGACACTTCACATGCTTCTGGGACAGGAGGGTAGGGACCATCACTCTTCCATGGCCCACTCTGATGAGACGAGTCTCTTGAGCTCTGCCTTCCTCCTCCACTTCAGGAGCGCATGGTCTCTCAGCGCAGTATCTGAGCACAGCCCTCTGGACCTCTGATAGCAGTAATTTCACTGGGAGATTTTCCTACTTCCGTGTAAGAAAGTGGTGTATTTTCTTTATAATATGGATGCTGTTTCTTTTCAATTATAAACAGAATCTATTATTCTTCTACAAGGGAAGCTACAGTTTAAATCTTAGAAATATAAAATCATGGCTAGAATGTGTTCAATTTATAGACAGATAAGGAGTGGCCCTTAATATGTGGGGGAAAGTGCAGTTGTAGTCTAAGGAGAGGGGTCAGGGCAGGCCTATTTGTGAAGGTGACATTTGAGCAAAGGTTTGAAGAAGGCAAGGGAACAAGCCATGCGTGGGGAGGAGCATTTCAGCTAGAAGGACTGGCCAGTGGCTGGAACAGAGGGAGCAGCGGGAAGGCAGTGGGAGAGAAGAGAGCAAATGGAAGAGGGCCTTGGGATCTGAGGAGGCTTTGAACTGAAAGAAATGGAAAAACATGGGCTGGTTTGAGCAGAGGAGTGACCAAGTCTGAATAATGTTTTAACTGGATGACTGACCAGGCTCAGAATAGGTGTTCCTCTCAATCATCAATAGAAAAAGGAGAGAAAAAAAAGTAGTAAGGAAACATTTTGACAGCACATTTATCAAGCTTGATTATTCATAGAGATTATATTTAAGACTTTCTAGAATCATGACTAATTATGAAGAGCACCTTTTCAATTATTGATGCTTGATGCTTATTGGTCATTGGAAATCCTCCTCTGTGAAATGCCTGTTTAAGCCAGTTGCCCATTTTTATTGGGTTGTTTGTCTTTTTATTATTCACTTGGAGGAATATCTTCAGACATTTGACCAATGATCCAACCTTCTTCTAGTCTGTGGCTTTTCACTCTATTACTGGTGTATTTTGACGAACAGAAACAATTTTAATAAATTGTTAAAAAATTAAAGAAAATGTTTGAGATGTAATTGATATTTAAGATTGTCATGGTGTACGACGTGATGATTTAACAAACATATTGTTGCAAAATGATTGCCGCAATAAGGTTTGTTAACACATCCGTCACTTCACATAGTTATCTTTTTTTGGTGTGGTAAAAACACTGAAGATCTACTCTCTTAGCAGCTTTCAAGTATATGGTGCAGTGTTGTTCGTTGTAGTCACCGTGCTATACCTTATCCGCCTTGTAACTACGAGTGTACCCTTTGACCAACACCTCCCATTTCTCTGTGCCATGGAATATTACTCAGCCATTTAAAAAGAGGGGACTCTTGCCATTTGCTACAACGTGGGTGGATCTTGAGGGCATTATTCTAAGTGAACTAAGTCAGAGAAAGACAAATCCTGTATGATCTTACGTGTATGTGGAATCTTAAAAAATAAATAAATACATAAAAATAGAAGATGCAAGTTCATAGGTACAACAGATTGGTGGCTGCCAGAGGTGGTGGGTAGGGGTAGGGGTGAAGGGGATCAAAAGGTACAAACTTCCAGTTTAAAATACACAAGTCATAGGGACGTAATGTGTGACCTGGTGACTATAGTTAATAACACTGTACTGCATATCTGAAAGCTTATTAAGAGAGTAATCTGGAATTTCTCATCAAAAAAAAAAAAACTCTGTAGCTATGTGTGGTGATAGACGTTAACTAGGCTTATTTCGGTGATCATTTCACAGTTTGAAAAAAGTCTTTAACTCACTTTGAGTTAGTTTTTGGTGAATAGTATAAGATAGAGATCCAGTTTCATTCTTTTCTATGTGGATTTCTGTTTTTCTTAGCACCATTTATTGAAGAGACCATCCTTTCTCCATGGTGTATTCTTGGCTCCATGGTCAAATATTTGACCATATATGTGTGGGCTTATTTCTGGGCTCTCTGTTCTGTTCCATTGGTCTATGTATCTCTTCTTATGGGAGAATCATGAAGATTTGGTCCTATATTTTCTTCTAAAAGTTTTGTAGTTTCAGCTCTTAAGTTTAAGTCTTTGATCCATTTTGAGTTAACTTTTATATATGGTGTGAGGGAAGGGGCCCACCTTCATTCTTTGGCATGGGAATATCCAGTTTTCCCAGCACCATTTAAGAGACTCTCCTTTTCCCATTGAATGGTCTTTGGCACCCTTGTCAGAAATCAATTGACCATATATGTGAGGGTTTCTTTCCGAGCTGTATGTTCAGTTGGTCTGTATGTCCATATTTATGCCCAGTAGCATACTGTTTTGATTATTGTAGCTTTGAATGAAGTTTTGACCTCAGGGAAATGTGAGTTCCTCAGTTTTGTTGTTCTTTCACAAGATTGTTTTGGCTACTTGGGATCCCTTGAAATTCTGTATGAATTTTGGGATGTGTTCTTTTATTTCTGCAAAAATGTCATTGGGATTTGGATAGAGATTGCATTGAATCTGTTGATTGCTTTGGGTAAAGTTATCTACCTCGAAACAGTAAGCCTTCAAATCCACGAACACTGATGTCTTTCCATTTATTTAG